CGAGAAAGGTAAGCGCTACATGCAATTCAGGTTTGGAGAGATTTCTTGCTACACCGAGGCGAAATTTATTGTTATTTAAATGGTCAGCAACAGAAGCATATTTTTCTCCGATAATGGTATTTTAACTTACTTGGAAAGTACAATTACGCCTTGAGCCCCAAGCGACTTATTTATTTCCTAATCATGATTATTGCGGCTGTTGTCAGCTCTGGCTCAAGCCACTGTCCACGTTCTCAGCTAACAGGTTCGCACATTTAAAAAGTAACAAATAAACTGCTTGGTGTGCTTTTATAAGTAAAGATCTTTGATCAGATCACATAGAAATTTTCTCCATCAAAGCTTTAACTGATGCAACGATCCAAGTTTTATTGAGGTCTTATAGCTCAGACACTGCAACTCTTCACAAACGTGTCAAGTTTTTTTTTTTCCCTGAAAGCGGCAAAAGTTGGACGAAGCAATTCAACAGGAAATAACTCATGATTTAAACCCGGACGAAAGCACATATCGTTGATTTGAAANTAATGATAAAGACCATGCAGATTATTGCAGTTCTTTGACAACCCCATCCAAAAGGAAGCTTTCATCGGCTTGTAGATACCAATCGAGCGGATCACCAGTCTCAAGATGCACCTCGTAAGCTTCAAGCCAAGTTACACCTTTGGTAATCACCTGGTATAAAGTATAATCATTCCGCCATAAGTCCGGTCTACAGTGACAGATCTGTGTGCAGCCATCTTTACTCGGCAAGGTGTGATCTTCGCCGCTGGAAACGTTCAGGAAAGAGCCATTCTTTTTCTTCAGACAATAACGGGGTACACTAACAATCATCGAAGGGCAGGAATTGGGAAAGTCTGATGGAAGAGAGACCCTAAGAGTATATTCTTTGTCATTGCTTAACGTAACCGTAACTTCGACTTTTGTAGCGTGCTGATCGGCTGGGTTAATCCATTTCACTTTTTGGCGGTAGTAAGCTTCAAGCTCTTTCCTTTGTCTTGCCAGCCTCTGCCTTTGGAAAAATGACCATGGCATAATGAGGAAGTCTTAGTTGCGAGCTAAGGTTGTTTAAAAGGCAATTGCTAATAGAATTCCCAGGTTAAATTCTCAATGACAGAAGGGGATCGAACG